TTCCCTAGCCAGTCCTGGCGAGGCCCGGCGAAGAAGTGCCCGAGGTGAGGGAACCCATCAGGCGCCGGGCACGCGCGCAGGGCGGAGAAGGGGGAGAGGGGCAGATGCTGTGTGGGCCACAGGTAGGGGTGGGTGCCGCGCCTCCGAAGGAGGGGGAGGGACCGTGTCGCGAAAGCCCTGCCGGGGACACGGGCGCATGCAGGGAGAGGTAGGGGGGAGGAGGGGAGGAGAGGGGGGGGGAGTAGGTCGGAACCCTACTGCACTGCCTGGAGGTCAGCCCCACGAGGGGGTCAGCCCTGCAGTCTCGCAAGTAGTGAGGCGACAGGAGAGGGGAGGAGGGAGGAGGGTCAAGGCGCAGGAGGGGCGGCGGCGGACACGCCGATGGTGTCGAGGCGGAGGGCATATGGGAGGGCATATGGGAAAGATCAGGCGGCGCAGGGCGAGCCCGCGCCTCAGACGAGGGCGGGTCGCCTTGGACGTGTACCTGTGGCCTGGGGGGGGGGGGGGGGGGGGGGGTAATGGGGAGGGTGGCCGGGATGGGGGCGGTGATTAGGGGGGCAGCCAATTTCCCTAACCAGTCCTGGGGAGGCCCGGCAAAAAAATGCCCCAAGTGAGGGAACCCATCAGGCGCCGGGCACCCCCCCAGGGGGAAAAAAGGGGAAAAGGGCAAATTCTTTTTGGGCCCCAAGTAGGGGTGGGTGCCGCGCCTCCGAAGGAGGGGGAGGGACCGTGTCGCGAAAGCCCTGCCGGGGACACGGGCGCATGCAGGGAGAGGTAGGGGGGAGGAGGGGAGGAGAGGGGGGGGGGAGTAGGTCGGAACCCTACTGCACTGCCTGGAGGTCAGCCCCACGAGGGGGTCAGCCCTGCAGTCTCGCAAGTAGTGAGGCGACAGGAGAGGGGAGGAGGGAGGAGGGTCAAGGCGCAGGAGGGGCGGCGGCGGACACGCCGATGGTGTCGAGGCGGAGGGCATATGGGAGGGCATATGGGAAAGATCAGGCGGCGCAGGGCGAGCCCGCGCCTCAGACGAGGGCGGGTCGCCTTGGACGTGTACCTGTGGCCTGGGGGGGGGGGGGGGGGGTATTGGGGAGGGTGGCCCGGATGGGGGCGGTTATTAAGGGGGCAGCCAAGTTCCCTAGCCAGTCCTGGCGAGGCCCGGCGAAGAAGTGCCCGAGGTGAGGGAACCCATCAGGCGCCGGGCACGCGCGCAGGGCGGAGAAGGGGGAGAGGGGCAGATGCTGTGTGGGCCACAGGTAGGGGTGGGTGCCGCGCCTCCGAAGGAGGGGGAGGGACCGTGTCGCGAAAGCCCTGCCGGGGACACGGGAGAGGAGGCCCGAAGTGAGGTAGCGCCCGGTCGGGAGGGTGGCCGGGATGTGGGCAGTGGGGAGGGAAGAGAAGTCGGCTCGGCTGCGGTGGAAACACAGCACCATTGATCACAACGGAAGGAAGACAGGGGAGGAGGAGGGGGCGGAGGACGGCGGTCGACGGCGCTGCAGATGGCGGGGCTGATGGGGGTGCTGATGGCGCGCGGCGGTGTGCGGAGGGCAGCGGCGCGGCGCCGCGGTGTGCGGAGGACGGGAGCTACTCGCGCCGATGGCGAGCGGGGAAGGAGGGGCGGTGGAGGCGAGGCTGGGGAGAGCCGGGTCAGACGCTGACGGGGGTTGAAGGGTAGGGCAGGCTGGTGCCCGGGGAGAGCGGTGAGGAGGGATTGCTGGGCTGGCGCACATGCTGGTGGACGCTGCGTCCGCTCACGGCGCCGCGAGGAGCAGGGACGGCGCAGGGTGGTGAGCCTGCGGGGACCGACAGTGTCCCGAGAGCCTGCGGGGGCCGTCGCAGGGGAGGAGGGCCCGAGTGAGACAGGGCATGCTTCACGAAAGCGAGGGCAGCGGCGGAGTGGTGGGGCTGTGAGAGGCGGGCGCGTCTGCTACATTTGCGCGAGCGGTCGGCGCAAAAACCTGTGGCCTGACCTCGGCTGTAGACCGGCGGACGCGCAGAGTGCTGATGCAGGAAGGGCAGAGCACGCCTGAGGGAGAGCTGGGATGCGGCAGGTAGCACCAGGCGAGAGCCCGCCGGCTTTTTGCAAAAACAAAGAAAACGCCGCGTGGCCTAGTGAGTTAAATCGCGGGAAAGACATACAAGTTAAAAGCGGAGGGAAGCTGTAAGCCGGTAAAAGAGAAAGAGGCACGAGAAAAAGCGAGTGACAATACTCGGCGATCCCCATCTCGAACGTATCACTGTTCGCTCACGGCCTCCACGGCGCTGGTGCCACACGCGCCGCCGCACGCACTTTGCGAGGCGGATCTCGGGGCGCCAACGCCTCCCGTCGCGCCACCGGCTCCCTCGCAGGCTGCGCTGCCCCTGCCAGGGGACCGTCCAAGCGCGAGCCGCCGCCCGTGTAGCGCGACATCTTTGCACGGTCGCCGCTTCGTGGCGTCGGGTTGCCGTCGGTGAGGCGGGATCCCGTTCCTGTCCTAGGCCGACTAGCGGACCCGCTGGTGGTGCCACTGCTCAGGCACTGCGTTGTCCTGCCGCGAGCACCTTTGCCCGGAGTGGAAGGGTGCTGGGCGGGTGAAGCGGCGGCGCACACGGCCGAGTCGCTGCTGCCGGCCGCCTCTGGCGGTGTCTTCGTGCACGCAGTAGCCGTCGGCGCATACACGGCCTGGAGGACGCCCGGTGCGAGAGCGAGCAGGGCGTTCGGGTCGTCGGAAGCGAGGATCCGTCGGCGCTGCAGGGATAGGGCCTCGAGTATCTCGCCCTGCGTGGTGAGGAAGGCGTGCTCCTGGGCCGCGGGCGACGGAGCGAGGCGCGCACTCGCGCGCGCCACCCGGGAGATACGGCCGTGGAGGGGCACGTTGCAAAGCCGCACAACGAGCGGGCGGTTTCCCCACCGTAGAGCACGCGCCGCATCGACGTCGACTGAGACACGCGGGACGGCAACGTGCTCGAAGACCTCTAGGTGCCGCACGAGGACCTTTGCGCCAAGAAGCTTCCGGACAAGGTGCACGTGCGGACCTAACGTGTCGAAGGGCGCAGCCGACTCTCCAGCGCGGAAGCGCGGCTCGTAGAAGACTGTCGAGAGCTTGGGCAGCGCAGCTAGAGGTAGCGGCGCCGGGCCCGCAGCGGCAATGTCGGCCTGGACGGCCGCGACCAGGGCGCGAGCGGCCACCGTCGCGTCGACGTCGCAGAGCAGCTGCACAAGCAGCGAGCCAGCGAGCGCTTGCGCCGCGTCTGCATCGCTGTTGCTGAAGCCGGCTGAGAGGGCTGTCTGACGCGCAGCGGAGCAGGCATCGTCGGACCGGCAGAGCGCAGCATCGTGGAGCACGCACGAGTCGCAGCACGCCACACTGCAAGGCGAGCGGCGGCCGCCAAAGGCGAGGAGCAGGCCGTTGCGGCGACAGGAGCATGTGGTGCTCAGCGCGAGCACCTCCCCGATAGCTGCATCTGCCGCGCCGCGTGCCGCCTCCACCACAGCAGCGTTGGCGGCCTCGTCATCGTCGCCGTCGCCCATGCGGAGGCGGTCGAGGTCGAGCCGCGAGTGAGCGTACGTGACAACGAGGGCGGGCATCGCGAAGTTGCGGCCGGCGCGACCTTTCTTCTGCGTGTCGCTGAAGAGGCTGGCGGGTAGCTCAAACATGTGGATCAGAGATATGTCCCGGTCAACCCCCATGCCGTACGCCTCCGTGGCGATGAGCAGCACGCCGTCAGTCTCGAGCCACACCTTCTCGGCCGCGTCCTTCTGCTGCCGCGTCATGAGTGGAGGCTGGGAGCCGTCGGCGGCGCGTGGGCCAGGCATCTTCCCCGTGCAGTAGGGCACTGCGGGGAGACCAGCCTTGCAAAACCCATGAGCAAGACTGAGCGCCTGCTTTGCCTGCGACACGTACATCATCTCCTTGCCCTGTCGGGCGTAATCCGGCGCGTTGTTGCGCACCGTCAGCACGGCACGCAATGCGATGTCTAGCAGCGGCTCGTCGGCGGCCCGCACGTCGAGGGGCAGCGTCACGTAGGAGATGTTCGGACGGTCGATGGGCAGGCGGAGCACGTCGGTCGGCTCGATGGAAAGCTGCAGCGAGGCGATGAGGTCTGCCTCCGCCTCACCGGGCGGGATGGTGGCGGTGAAGGCGCTGACCGGTGGCGCTCCGAGGCTAGGCCAACGCGCGACGTGCCGCTCTTGTACCGCACGAATGCTGCGGCCCAGCCTCAGATAACTGGGCCGATAGGTCATCTGAGTGGCGCAGTGCGCCTCGTCGACGACAAAGCGACGCAGGCGCCCGCTCAGCTCAACGGCGAGCCACGTGCGCTGCGCCGCAACGCTCTTCGATTCGAGGTGCTCGGGAGTCGTCACAAGCAGGCGCACGCCCGCCGGGTCGAGGATGCGGCCGGCGAGGGAGTTCTTTCCCAGCCCTCTCACCTCCTCTTCCGTCACGCGCCGCGCCGCGCCCTCTGCCTCGCTCTGCGGCGTCGCCGCTGTGCGGCTCTGTGTGCGCGTCGTCGGTCCGGTGGCTGGCGTCGTCGCTGCAGCGCCGCCCTTCCGAAAGTAGCAATCGCCGCCGTTGATGCAGCCGCGGCACTGCCTCAGGCCGTAGCCGCGGAGCTTGTCAGCCGCATCGCAGCGGCGCGCACAAGCCTTAGCGCGGCCCGGTCCACAGGGTCCAAACCGGCGAGGCAGGCAGGCCACGCACACCCCGCACCGTGTGTCGCGCTCACGGGCCCACTCGAGGCGCTCGGGATGCGTCGCCCCATCCCCGCCCTCCTCCTCTCGCCGACACGCGTCGTTGCGACCGGCGACTGTAGCAGAGGAGAGAGCAAACGATAGCTGGCCCGCCTTCCATTGCAGCTTCTCGGCGAGCGCATTTGCCTTGCGCACCTGGTCGACACGCAGCGACTCAAGCGGGACGACCAGCACCGTCAGCCCACCCGCCTCGCCCGCAGGCGAAACTGCGAGGGCGGGGAGGACATAGCACAGCGACTTGCCGCCTCCAGTGCCCAGGATGTACAAGCCGTCCCTGCCGCGAGCCATGCTCTCGATGATGGCTCGCTGCGGCGGCCGCAAGTCGAAGCCGAGCTCACTGGCGACGCTCTCAGCCGCGCCAAGATCGATCTCGCCGCTGATCAGTTCGAGCCCCGGCGTCTGCATCGCCGCTGGCTGCCCGTCCCCGCCTGCCCCACCCTGCGGCGGCCGCTTCTGCGCCGTGAGTGTGGCGGCGTCCGCCGCCGGCAGCTCAGCTGTCGGAGCAGACTCGCCGTGCTGCTCCACCGCCATGCCGGAGAGAGCTTCGTCCGTCTCCATCTCCACGTCGGCGTCCGCGCCGCCTTCGCCGGCGTCGCCCATGGTCCTGCATTCGCATTGGTCGCACGCGTCATAGCCGGGCGCAGGTGGGTCTGTGCGTCGGCGTGGGCGGCCGAGGCGGTGTGTGAGCGGCCGGGCAGTCGAGTGGGGCTATGGGGCGCCCCGTGTCCGCGCGGGGTGGCCAGGCTGTGGCTGGGAGTGGAGCGCGGCGGCTTTTGCACCTCCTGTGGAAGCAGCCGTTCAAGCGAGGCGGACCGTGCGACTCGATTGTGGACTTGTGTAGCCGCTCCTGCGCGTGGCGGCCAGGTGGGTGGGTGCTCTGGCGGGGTGCAGCGACTCAGGAATTTAGGTGGGCGCAGAGGAGCGCGCGCCGGGCGAGACTGCGGGCCGAACGCGTTACGAAAGGAATGCCGGTGCTTTGCCCGGGTTTACGCAAGGGCCCTCCCTGTGGGGGGGCCCGTGAACATCTTTAGCTTGTGAGCCAGGAAAAGGGTTGGTTCGGAACTCGTGCGGGGTGGGGTAGGACACCGTGTCTTGTGAGCCTGTTTGTGTCTGTGTGTCGCTCGTGCGTGTCGTCATCATCTGTCCAGCGTCCACCCATACCGCGTTGGTGTCCAGTCCGAGCCTGGCTGTTCTTCACCTTAGCACGTGCATCTTCTTCAGCCACACTCCATTGACGTTGGGACAAGCATGCCACGTTCGTCGGCAAGACTGGCACCGGCGGTGGTGGTAGACGTGAACGTGAGCGCGCGCGATTTAGGTTGGTTGACCACCATTCATCTGTGCTCAGCGCCTCACACGCCTTTGACCAGCAGAAGCAGCCGCGTGTGGGTGGCGCACTGCGAAGCTCGCCTTGTGCCCGCAGAATGACGCGCAGCCCCTCACATCTTTCGGGTGCGCCTGGCGATCTGCAGCGACTAAGCTGCCTGAACTGCAGTGGCCAGGCACGCATCGCCAGCCAAGAAGCGTAATGAAGCGACTGGCGGGGGCACCGCATTGAGAGTGTGTCGAGGCTTTCCCTAGCTCAACTGTCGACCCTAGCGGGTCGCCAGCCGATCGTCATTTGTGTGTATGGGTACAAAGAGAGACGGTTCAACTTGTGTGTGTGTGTGTGTGTGTGTGTGTGTGTGTGTGTGTGTGTGTGTGTGTGTGTGTGTGTGTGAGCTCAACTTTGTGGCAGGGAGCCGTTTGTTTTGGTCGTGGAGGTCGTGGAGGTCGTGGAGTTGCGAGTCACGCTCGGACGGACAAAATCGACAACACGATCAAAATCGATGCTAATCGATGCCGTCGCCGGACGCGGCGGCGAGGCACAGGGCGCCGGCGTGGCGCGTCGGCAGGCCCACCACGAGCGGATGCGCGACGAGCGCGCTCGGGAAGCGGCCGCGGGCGACGCGGAGCTTCCGCCGGAGGACGAACGACGCGGTCGAGATGGCGAGCGAGCGCCGCCCACGTGCTGGACAGCGTGGCGGAGGTGGGCCCGAACTACGCACGGTTTTGGTTGCCCCCTCCTGCTCTGATTAGACGCCACAACCAGGGCGGTGTCGCACCAATCGCCGGGCACAGAAGGATTCCTCCTCACTCTCCATTGACAGCATGTCTGATATCGAGTACACGCACTGGCTGCAGATCGAGCGTGGTGCCACCTGCATGGTTGTCGGCTCCGCTGGCCGCACTCCGACCTTCGTTGATACACTTCACAAAGCGCGGAAGCGGGTCGACTCGTGCAGGCCGGGACCGGCGCAGGTGGACGCGGTCGCGGGAGCACGCGCGACGTGCGACGGCATGCTGGAGAGGGTGAAGGCGGCGCTCGAGCGCATCTTTTTAGATGCGGATGCAAGCGGCGCCAAGGCTGCAGACGCCAACGCGCGGCTGCAGGCGGTGGCGAGCGAGAGCGTCGCCAACTTTGCCGCAATCTTCCTCGAGTACAACGCGCTGTGCGAGCGCTCGATACTGAAGCCGATCGAGACGGCGAGCGCTCGTGCGCCGTCTACGGAACTGTCCCGGTGCGGCGCCTGCACAGACACCGACATGTACATGTCGCCTCGTCGCCCCGCGCTCTAGGGTGTGGCCCGGACCTGCCCTCTCGTGTCGCCTCGTGCGGCCGACGACCTCTCACCCCCACGGCGCAGGGACTTTGCACTGCTCAAGAACACGTACGGCGTGGAGCGTGCCTTCCTCTGCGGTACGCTCGCCCTGCCCACACAGGCGCTGCCCAGTAGACCTCTCCCAGACCTCTCCTGGAGCCGTCCTGCAGGCGCGCTCGCCCTGCCCACGGAGGCGCTGTCCGCCATGCCTCCGCACGCCTCGTCTGCGCTGGTCGTCAACCTGCAGCGGCAGCGCGCCCTCATCGAGCGGATCCAGACCCTCTCTCCGCCGCGCGCGCTCGAGCTCATCGGCGCCGCGTTTGAGCTGACGCCGCCCGAGCTGAGGGACGTCCACAACGAGCTCCAGCGGAGCCTCGACGTCGCCGCCCTGAAGAGCGGCGGCTTGCGCGCGGCGCGGTGGTTCGAGCTCATGACGGCGCACATTGACAAGCTCGAGCCGCCGGCCGGAACGGAGAGCGATACAGAAGAAGGCAGCTGCGCCTGTAGGCGCACATTGACAAGCTCGAGGCGCTGCAGGAGCTGCTGCACAACTTCGAGGTGGCCAAAGCTGTCGCCGCCGCTAACTCTAGCCCTGGCCCTTCCCTGACCCTGACCCTAACCCACGATCTCGAGGTGGCCAAGTTGTCGCCGCCGCGCTCGCCGCCGCCCGCCACGTCTCTCCACGGCGTGTTCGCCGCTGTCGGCGGCGGCGGCGGCGACGGCGCGGGGGAAGTGTTTGAGCTCGAGCGATTGGGCGAGGGGATGAGCCGAGACTAGCCGAGATTAGCCGAGATTACGCGAGCGTCTATGAGCGAGCTCGAGCGGCTGGGAGAGGCGGGAGATTGCCCGAGATCGAGGAGCTTCTCCCGCCTCATCCAGGTCAGCGAGTGAGTGACTCAACGGTGTGAGTGGCAGGCGACGAGTTGCGCCGCCTCTCGGGCGACCAGATCAAGGAGATGCTGCTGAGGCGCGTCGCGGCGGCCGCCGCGCCGCCCCCCGGCCTTTCGGCGAGCCAGGCGGCGGCTGGGCCCCCGGCGGGCAGCGCTGCGGCGTCGATCGATGCGGCAGAGGATGCGGAGAGGCAGGCGGAGAGGAGCCGCTTCGCCAGGGCAGCGGCGGTGGTGACGCGCGGCAGCGGCGGCAGCAGCGGCGGCGGCAGCAGCGGCAGCGGTGGCGGCGGCGGCGGTGGCGGCGGCGGCGGTGGCGGCGGCGGTGGCGGCGGCGGCGGCGGCGGTGGCGGCGGTGGCGGTGGCGGCGGGAGCAGCAGCGGCGGCGGCGGCGGTGGTGGCGGCGGCGGCGGGGTGCACCGGATTGCGCTGCCTTCGCTTGCCTTCCGCAACCGGCTGGGGCGGGGTCAGAGCGGCTCCACCTACCTGGCGGAGTGGGGCGGCCGCAGGGTGGCGGTCAAGGTTGCGTGTGGGCGCGAGGATGCGCACACGAGTTGGCAGGTGGAGGTCGGCATGCTGCTGCGCGCGTCCCAGCCGGGCCACCCGAACGTGGTGCGCCTCGTCGGCAATGAATGAAGCTCATTATTACCTGATTGCCTTCCCTCTAGGCCACCCGAATGTGGTGCATCTCGTCGGCGCCGTGCAGGAGAGTGGCCGAGAGGACGCGAGAGTAGCCGAGGGTGGCCGAGAGTACGCGAGAGAGCCCGAGATATCACGGAGATAGCCCGAGTAGCCCGAGAGAGCCATAATGTGGTGCACCGATTGCTCACGGCTCGCGGACTCTCGGGTGATCTCGCGCCCTCTCGTGCAATCTCGCGCCACGTGCAGGAGCAGCTGACCTATTGCGTCGTGCTCGAGTACTGCGACGGCGGCGACCTGCACCAGGCGCTACAGCGGCCCACGCCGCCCGGCTTCTTCCTCCGCGTCGCCGGTGGCGTGGCGACTGGGCTCGCCTTCCTGCACGGCCGCGGGATCATGCACCGCGACCTCAAGTCGCCGAACGTGTTGCTGCACGGCGAGCGCGGCGTCAAGATTGCCGACTTCGGCCTCGCCGCCCTCCGAGGCGATTGCAGCGGCAGCAGCAGCCGGAGCAGCAGCGTCGGCGGCAGCGGCAGCCGCGTGTCGGCCATCGCCCTCACACCTCGGATTAGTCAACTAAGCGCTGGCTAGTAACTCGCAGGCGGCCGCACGTCGACGAGCGCCCTCACGCCCGAGACGGGCACATACCGCTGGTGGCGCCTGTGAGGATGAGTTCTCAATCAATCGTGAGAACGAGTTGATGATAGGCACGTACCGCTGGATGGCGCCCGAGGCTGGGACGCGCGAAAGGTGCTCGGAGAGAGACGAGTGTTTCCATCTTTAGTCGTGACTTGGACGACAGGTTGTGATGCGCGAGGCGTACTCGGAGAGCGCCGACGTGTTTAGCCTCGCCATGATCCTCTTCGAGCTCATCACGCACACCGTCCCCTTCTCCGACCGCTCGGCGCTGCAGGCTGCCGTCTCGATCGGGCTGCAGCGGCTGCGGCCGGCGATGCCGGACGGCACTCCCGACGCGGCGCGAGATCACCGAGATCATCCGAGACCCCCCGAGACCCCCCGAGATTGGATGCCGGGCGGCACTCCCGACGCGGCGCGAGGGAGCGGGCCTGCGCGCGTCTCCCCCTCGAGACGCGCCCCCCGGGTGGTGCGCCAACAGGTGAGGCTGCTCATCGAGGCGTGCTGGGCGGATGACGGCCGCGCGCGCCCGAGGGCGTCGCACGTCGCGGAGCACGTCGGCTCCATCGAGCTCGCGCTGACTCCGGCGCAGCGCCAGTGGCTCGACTGCCCGGCCGGCCACCGGCTACCGGAAGGCGCGCCGGCCGTCCTCTGCCGCCCCGGCGCGGCGCTGCTCCGCAGACAGCCGGCGCCGGCGGGAGCCGGCGGGGCGGGCGGCGGGCGGGAGGGCAGGGAGCTCGGCGCGGTGTCCGAGTCGCCAGAGCTGCGGTGACCCGATACTTTTGCAGCGCCCGCGGGGGTTACCTACAGCCTAGGCGAACCCCTATAAAATAGCCATATAGCCACCAGGGGAAATGCCAAAAAACTGACAGAGTTCAATCTCATGCACTACTGGCGCCGCCGAGCGCCCGCGCAACGCCAAGGGCAAGGCCATGAGCTCCGCCTCCGGGCGGACTAGGTCCAGCCCTGGGTGAGGTGGGTTGTGACATTTGGCGAGATTCCGCGGCTTACTGGGCCCCTGAGCTGCTCCCCGTGTGCGATGTGTGGCCCAGGCATGGTTCTGATAGTGAACGGGTCGGACCTGCCAAACACAGGCTATACAGCCCCACACACGCGCCCGCAATAGCTCTTGGAGAGCATGCGTGAGTGACGCGCTGCAAGCCGCGAGAGTGGCATTAAATAAGGTAGAAAATCACACGGACTCGTTGCTCCGACGCGTCGTGCGTAGCCGCGGGCAGGTGGCAGTGCACGGCCACACACCGGCTGTGGCGGCTCGTATGCCCCCGGCAGTAATGCTGGTCATTAACCTGCGTATTGGGGCCGCAGCAGACTGCTGCTGTGGCGGAGCCGCATCGTGGCGGCTTCACGTGGGTGGATGAGGGAATGCCCGCCGGATGGCCGGGTGGCGTTTTTCTGGTGATTCTGGTGTGGCGCTGTCATGAATTCATTTTGGTTTTAGGTATATTGTTGGCAAATCAAGACACAGAGCTCACACAGAATCACAGCGGGAGGAAAGCGGCGAGTCGCAATTCCTGGGGTCCTTGTGGCGGGCCACCCTGTCCAGAGAGAGAGGCATGGATGCCAATCTGGGGTCTCTCGACCGAGTCTATGAGCCCTGGCCGCTCCCGGTTGTGGCAGAGGTTATGGAACCAAGCGACGGAGATGGTGCGGGGGTACGGGTGAATTCATTGGCCATGCTAAAAATTCTTTCAAAATCGAGTTTGCGTTAGAAGTGACCCGAGCCGCCGGGTGCCCCGCAGCGGCCTCGCTGGGCCAGAACACCGGTCCGCGAGTGCTCCGCAGCAACCTCGCTGGGCCAGAACATCGGCCCGCAAGGTGGGGTGCTAGTATGAGACCGATCCGTCGCAGTTCTCTTGCTCCAAGCGCTTGCACATCGGCGGTTAGTGGTGCAATAACCTCCGAGAAACCCATCGGATCGCTTCTCATCGCAAACCCTGTCAGCAGAGTCCTCCTACGGGAATGTACGTAAGAGCCACATACATTGAGAGAGAGACCCCCTCTCCCTTTTCTCCCAGTAAGCTAAAAGTACGTACATTGAGAGAGAAAATTGTTATGACCCCCCAATGAACACACCAGTGAGGGAGGGCGAGACGATCGAGAGGTCCCGTACCATGCGGAATCGACCCTACCAAGTGCTCAAGTGCTCAAGAGAGAAAATACAAGCCGCTCACGCCGGACACAAACTCGGCCGTCCTGCCACGTCTCTCGGGACATGGCTTTGCCATCCTGGTGCAGCGTGGCTCGCAGCGGCGAGGAGTGCAACACGCTCGGCTGCAAGAAGTCTGAGCGCTGCGAGCGGTCGAGCTCCTCGCGTGACAATGGCCACCGCAAGAAACAGGGGCCTCCGGATCGCCCCTCTCGCTTCCTCGTCCTCTCCTCCCAGCGCTCTGGCACGACGGTTGTCGTCAACTAACTAACTGCAGTGACTCCTTGCGCCTGCCTACAGCGTCTCTTTTGCAATCTGCAGGCGTTCAGTAGTAGTAGCAAGCAACTTTAATTCCAAGATCGGATCCCTATCACGCCCACGCGACTAGCGATCCGCAGGCGTTCATGAGCGGCCTTGCGCGCCTCTCGGGCTGCCTGCGGACTAGCGTAAACGAGCCTTTGTACCGCGTTGGGAGGAGATGCCGCGAGACGTCGCTCTTCTCTACGTGCGCCGAGCCCCTCCTCGCGCGAGCCTTCGCGGCGATGGGGTCGAGGTGCCGAGTTGCAGAGAGCGACGACCTGGCGCGGTACAACGAGACGCTCAGCCGCTTCGATGTGACGGGCGACGCCTCCTGCACACGGGCTTGCGGCTTCAAGGTGATGTACAATCAGCTCCCCCCCGTCGACTCGCTAGCACATCTCGCCTCCAACACCTCGACGACTCGAGTGGACACACGCGCCTTCACGCGCTTCATGGCGTGGAGCATCGCAAACGAGGTCCGCGTGGTCCACCTCGTTCGCCGCTCGCACATCCGCAAGGCCATATCGCATTTTCGGGCGGAGGAGACGGGCGTCTGGCACAACCTGGAGCGAGAAAAGCACCCGCCTCCATCGGCATCGGCAGCTTCGCGGTATGCACTAAACACGTCGGCGTTCGAGATTCTCAGCATGGTGGAGTGGATGGTCGTTGAGCTTGTGGAGGTGCGGGGCGCGCTCCGGACGGGCCTGGCGCCGAGCGCACAAGTGGAGATCTCATACGAGGCTAGATGTAGCCGAAATGTGATGTGCACGCCTTAACGTGAGATCAATTGCATTGAGATCGCACCTTATCGGATCAATCTCCCGCAAGGCGCTATACGACGGTCATGACGCGCGCCTCCAGCGAGTGGAGCTGTCGAGGCTGCTCGCGCTGCTCGTGCCGGACCAGGGCTGGCAGAGGGAGCTCGCGCGGCGGTCTTTCACCAGCGCATACCGGGCAGTTGGCAGGCGCCGGCTACCTTGTCGCAAGCAGCTGCTTCAGTGGCGAGCGGTACGAACGGGGATGCTCGAAAGCATCGCGTCGGGACGGTTGGCAAGGACGAGCGAGGAGGTGCGAGAGTACCACTTTGCGTTGGACGACTGTGCCTCCAGTCGCTCGCGCGGGAGTCGTGGGTCAAGCATGCTCTTCATGGGACGACGGTGATTCGTATATCGGTGTGAATAAGAATATCGACGACACGAGACGCGATGTGTTCACGGCGATCTCCCATGTTCCCGCGTTCGTTTTATTATCGTTAAAAAGTTTATGCACCGTATCGAAGAGTGTTGGTAACGGTGCTGCAACAGTGTATGTTCTAGCCGCCTGTGGACAGGAGCAGGTACACACAGGTCACCGCTCCCCCTCTAGCGGGTTCCGTTGGTGCTCCGGGCGTGCGCCTGCGCAAAGAGGTACGCGATGCAAGCACGGTCCGGTGCGCCATCCGGCGAGAGCCCCGACTTTGCCTTGCGTACGAACGTTGCCGCCCCGCGGCCAAGCATGTCCACGCCGGCGGTGACACCCAGCGAAGCGATCTGGTCCGCCCAGCGCTCCGGGTCGCCGAGTGTGGCCTGCAGAGGAGGCGGCGGTAGGAGAGGCCTCCCCATAAGCGCGCCAGTCACGTCCCTCAGCGACGAAGCGAGGGTGCTGAGGCCCCCGCCGCGCAGCACTGTGGCCACCCTGGGCTCGAGCGCAACTTCCGCGGCGCTCATCGCCGCCGGTCGGCCTTGCCGCTCCCACTCAAGCTCTGTGATGTACTCAACCATCCAGCACGGCTTGGGGCCTCCCCACGCGCACCGCTGCTCGAGGCCGCCAGAGAGGCGGCGTGGCGCTGTGCGCAGCAGGTCAGCCCCAAATCCCCCGAGGCCAAAGCCGCGACCGCGAGGCTCAAATCCGCAAAGTGTCTCGGGGATTACGACCACGAGCCCGCCTAGTGCGCCGAGCAGCAACAGGTTGCCTGCGGGCGGGAGGGGGTGTGCGTCGTTGGCGACCGGGCAAGGCGGCCGGGCGAAGGTGCGGCAGGGTGGGAGGGCGCCGACAAGCGTGTCCAGCTCGATGCTCGAGGGCGGGTCGCAGGCGCCCAAGCCAGAGCTGCTGCCTGCCAGGCGCAAGAGGCCCCGCCGTCGCCTCCCCCACCCGAGCGTTTCGGCGGCCAGCCCGTCCGCCTCTGGGTGCCACCAGCCGCGAGCGCGCAGCACCGCCCGGCGAGCCCACGCGCCGGCACGCACGGAGGCTAGGTGCGCCATTACAGCTGGCATCCGCCGGTGCGTGGCATACGACGCCGGTCGACCCTCGGCGAAGGCGGCCACCCTCTCCTCGGCGCTGTCGACGACATCGCCGATCGAGCGGCCGCTCGTATCGAGGTAGCGCTCGGTGTAGTGGCTGAAGAGCTCAACCGGTGCCCGGACCAGCCACGAGACGCCCGCTGCACCGCTCCCCCCAAGCGGCCTCAGCGGGTAAAGGCACTTGCCGAGGGCGGGCCAGCCCTCGCACCTCCCGAGCGGCCCGTCCTGCCCCTTTGCAGTCCACTCCTTGCGCGCGCGCTGCTTGAGCGCGTACTCGGCCGTCTGCTCCCACGTGAAGGGCTTCTTCTTCCGCCCGCCGTACCGGTACTCGTGCAGCGCCGTCGAGAAGACGTAGTAGGACAGGTTTGTCATCGCCGAGACCACCACATCGTTCATGAGGGTCTGCTCGTCCGAGTTGGAAAAGTAGGGCGCCACCGCCCACGGCACGTATTGGCGGACCGCCTATGGCGGATGGCGCTCGGTGGCACCACAAACACCGCAGTGGGGCCAGGTGGCCGCCGGCGACCTCGGGGTGATGCATAAACAGGTCGATGCGCCGGGCAACCTCCCCAAGCACCTGAGGGTGGACGTGTCGCACTGAAGAGACGCGTAGAGAACGGGATTGAGGCTGCGAGCGGTCCCGTATCGCACCCACGCGAGGCCGGAGCCACGCCGCGCGCCCTGCGCGTAGAAGACGCCGGCATTGAGCAATGGCAGGTCCGGCTGGACGACGAGGTTGGCGGCGCCCAGCTGCCGCTTGAGCAGAGGGTAGGGGTTTTCAAACCTGGGCAAAGAGGATGGAGGGGAGGGTTAGGATTAGGGCTGGCTTCGAGAGAAGAGGGTAGCAGTGAACCAGGCGGCGTCGGTATCGGTCTGCAGCACGTTCACGCCGTGGTTAACCGCCTGTGGGCACAGAGTTGAGATGGCGCCAGATGCCAAGCTCCACCGCCTTTAGCCGCCCGTGCTCGTGATTTTGGGTCTAGAAGGTGCACCTCTCGCACAATTGCCGCTCGGGCAGGCCCGGAGAGGCCGCTGCTGGATACCAGTGCTAGCGCCCAGCATCTAACGGCGGCCGCCAGGCGAGCGACGAGCGCCTTGCGGACGTGGTAAAAGTAGAAGCGCAGGTCCCAATGCTTTCGGTTGCACAGCCCTTGGTTGTTTGGCCGCGATGGCGCTGTGACATGAGACGGGCAACGGAAGCGTGGGGAGATGGCTTGAGATCTCACATGCAGTTGGAGCGCACCGATCGAGGAACTCCACACGCATGCGAGCTGCGGCACTGTTCGGCGGAGCCGCGCACAACTAAAGAATGGAAGGGGGGGGGAGGTGGGACGTCTGCACAGGCGGCCGAGGGCTCTTCGGGGAGGTTGCCTTGCAGCTGAGTCCGAGACGAAGAGGGTGTGCCGCAATCGCAGCGCCCAGAACTGCAGGACGGTGTTGAGCGCAGTGGGCGACCCGTATGGAGAGCCGTCGCCGCAGATGAGGACCAGCTCGCCCCGGTAAGCGACTTGCGCGACCACTCGCTCGAGCACCTGATGATGCAACGAGGGCACCTCAGAGGCATCGCTAGGATTGCGAGGACGTGAGGTAGTGCGTCGAGGTCGGGGTTGAGTCTAGGTCTAGGATTTGGGTATGGCCACTCTCGAGCGAACCCCGGGTTGGTGACGGTCTGATCCAGTCTCATTGAAGGCAGGAAGGCGGCCGGCCGACTCAAACCACGACGGCTTGGCGCCTCCCCCACCCTTGCCGCTGCCACTACACCAGGGGCGAGGCCGTCAAGGGTGGCCGCTGGGGTGGTGTCTGTCTGTCGCCTTGCCGGCACGGCGCGCCGCTGCGATTGGCGTGCATTTGCATGGGCTCGTCTCGCCGGAGCTCTGCCTCCTCTGGGGCTGGCGGCGGCCCGGTGGCGGACAGCGCTCGGTGCGCGGCCATGCCGGGGTGGTGAGCGTGTGATCATTTGAAATTTGCCATCAACCTTGCGTTGGCAAACTTGAGCAACCCGGCGTCACGGAGAAAGGGCAGAGGTGGGCGTCAGGAGGGAGGGGGGGGTGAGGCCTTCGATGTTATGAAACAAAACACATGTGCACAACATACGCAGATACAGACATCCCGCACACAAAACCACAGTGAGAGGGAAGAGCGGACGCCGCTCGCCGCGGAGCGATACAGCAGCGAGCCGAGCCGAAAAATTCAAATTGTTTGTGCCAGCGATTGAGAGAGAGATTTTTAGCAATACCAAACAACTCTAACACTCACACGTCATTTGGGGCCTGGAGCCCTGTTCACGCGCGCGCGAGACGTGCAGACAGGGTCGCCAGGTGAGAGCGAATGGCGCGGTTCACGCCTCGCACAACAGAGAGAGAGAGATGCGCTCTGCATGGTGGGACATAAAAGAGAGCGAGTACTTGGGCGAGTAGGCCGTGCGGTCAACGCTGCCGCGCGCGACTTTGCGCGCGAGGCGGCGCAGCTTGAGAACGGCGGTGGGCGAGAAGCCGCCGCCGAACGTCTCGTGGAGCAGCAGGTTGAAGTTGTTGCGCTTGACAAAGATCGCGTCGTGGTAGAAACCGCGATGCGCCTTGACGTAGCCGTGGCCGGTCTTGGGGAGAAGGGTTGGCCGGGCTGCCCGCGCGCCTTGCAGCCCATGTTTAGGCGGCGGGCCTTCTCTTCGGTGTTGCCGAAGGCGTATGAGTGGCCAACGGAGGCGGGCGTGCCGCCACTCGAGGCGTTGCCAATGAGTGAGTGAGCCTGAGGCGCGCTGCGCCGCGGGTTTGCACGTCGGAGCACACCTCTGCTTCTCTCCGCAAGATATGAAGGAGGGCAACTCAACCACGTCCACTTCCCTCCCCCTCCCTCCCAACAACGCAGCGCAGGCCCGCCACACACACACACACACACACACACACACACACACACACACACACACACACACACACACATACACACACAACATAGCGAACACACACGCGCACGCACGGACCGCGGACACTAGAGTAGTTCGCGGACACCAGTAGTACTAGCGGACTCTGCGCTGAGGCGACTCTGTGCCACTGCCAGCCCAAGATAGCCCAGTGCACGCCGCAACGCTAACGCGACGGCCGAAGCGCCCAAACTCCGCCGAGGGAGCTCGTTCAGAAGAATTTGCCCGAACGTTCGCGCCGCGCCTGCTCCTTCTTGGAGATCAGGCGCAGGCTCGCAGCCACGGGCTTGGCCTTCTTCTCCTTCGCCTTCAGGAACTCGAGGCTCTCCTTGTACCTGAGGGCGGAAGAACACGGGGCGGCAGATATGCGAGACGAGGGGGCGATGCGTTGGGGCGGCGGCAAGGCGTTGTGCGGTTGGCCAAGCGGGCGCGGAGAGGAGAGGCTGGTGGCCCTGCTGCACCGCTGCTTCGCGAGCCGCGCATTCTCCTTGTTGGACCGACTTCTTGATCGACTTTTTGACAGGCTTTGTGACCGACTTCTTGACCGCGGTGGGCTTTACAACACCACGGGCCCCTGCCTTGCCAGCCACCGCCTTCTTGGGAGCAGGCGGTTTCGCCGAGAAGAGAGCGACCGGCGTGGCGGATCGCGCATGCCGCACGTATCCGGCAGCGAGTGGCGGCCGCAAAGCCGGCCGCAGTGAGAGTGCCGCGGGAAGGGCGAAGAGCAGTGCGAACGTCGGCCGCATGCTACGAGCGCACTCAGTAGGTAATTGGTGTGGTGCGGCTAGAGTGCGGCGGCTTGGTGCGGCGGAGGTGTGGGCACGCTGAGGATTACAGTCGATTACAGCGAGGCGTGACACACTGAAGAAATACCCAATTGCGGCGGCGGCGGCGCGCGTTAGCATACGTTTTTTCTTCTGCCACGCGGAAGCCCTCTAGTCCGTGCAGCCAACAGCTGCAGTGCGGCCGTCTGCCGTTTGACGAGAGCGGTGGGACATGCGACCCGTCTTCACGCTCTTCGGCGACTCCATCACGCAGTTCTCCTTTGGCCCCGGCGGCTGGGGCGCCGCGCTGGCAAACGACTGGCAGCGCCACGCAGACATCCGGCTGCGCGGATACTCGGGCTACAATACGCGCTGGGCGTTGCATCTGTTGCCGCATCTATTCCCGAGCGGCGGGCGCCCTGAGGACACGCCCGCGCTGGTCGTCGTCTTCCTTGGAGCGAACGACGCCACGAGGCCGCCGCCCCTGAGGCTCCAGCCAGAGCAGTCGAGCCGACAGCACGTGCCGCTCGAAGAGTATCGGCGCAACTTGGTCTCCATCATCGGCGCGATCCGCGAGTGTGGGGACGGCTCGGCACGCGTGCTGCTCCTCAGCCCTCCGCCGTGCGACGACGTCGCGTGGGCGCAGCACTGCTCGACGACGTACGGACT